AAATGCAGTGATAGAAAGAAAACACCAACATATCTTAAATATTGCACGAGCTTTATACAACCAATCCAACATCCCTATCTCATACTAGGGTGAATGTATCCAAACAACCACATACATTTTAAATAGGCTACCTTATCCAAACACCAACAATACTTCTCCATTTCAATTATTATACAACAAAGAACCGGACTATACGAGTATGCATTCTTTTGGCTGCTTATGCTACACAGCTACTCTTTTGTCCAAAAGAAACAAGTTCTCCCCTAGAATTCATCCTTGCATATTCCTTGGATATCCAAATGGCACAAAAGGTTACAAAGTTCTTGATCTCACCTCAAATCAAATTCAGATTTCAAGAGATGTTATCTTCCATGAAAGTATATTCCCCTACAGAAAATATCCTTCCAACAATAATTTTGATCCTTTTCCTGATTTGGTCATCCCTCAACCCATATCTGATCAGCCTATTTGTAATGTCTTAGTTTTTAGATACAATTATTATTATATAAATATGTATGATATCTAATTATATTATAATATTTTATTATTACATACGAAACAACTTATTATAATATATATGATAACATATACATATAAAATAGAATGGTTCAATGGCTTGTTCTATAATGCATAGAGACCATAAGATACAAGTCACAAGATCAAGTCATGCTTTGTCTCGATATATATATATTTTAGTAATTAAATAAAATTTTATTCAAAATCTATAAATATACACATGCTGCAATATATATAGTAATTAAATAAATTATATGGAAAGATAAATGTAAATTCGATTACGTAAGACATTACTCGTAATAACTAGATAAAACATATCAAATATAGGATAAGAGAAAGTAAGAGTGAAGGAAACCTTGTGAGAGAAGGGAAAAGCGAGTAAGATAAAAACAATCTTATATATCTTTGAGAAACTTTACTTCTCTTAAGGTAAGGGAGAGGAAAACTCTATCTTTTTAAAATTTTATATGTTACTATGTTTATTTAATTATTTTATATTTTGTGTGTATTTATTTAGTGAAGTGTCCCTAATCTCATTTATTTGCTTAATCTATGATAATTTTTACTTATAATAATTAATAAGGTATTCATAGTTTATGTTGTTTAATTATTTTATAATGATTATTATTGTCATTTACATGATTGGTAATCTTAATATATTATATTTACGTAAATATTTTTTTAATGATAAATATTCAAATTTATTTAGCGTAATTATTTTTATGATTAACTACAATATAGTTTAGTTAAAATATATTTGAATCGTCTTGTTGTTATTTCTTCATGTATTTAATTATGAAGATAAATATTATTCTATGGTCATAAGAATGAAAGTTTGAATTAATTTGTAATTGGAAGTTTAACCTTGGGGATTTAAATGAGTAAGGATTTAAGGTGAAAAATTATTTTGTTGGTCGATAATATGATAATGTTCATTTATCCTGACTAGTCACTGCAAGTGTAATTCAAATTTTTATGTATATTTTCTAGTATTAACTATTGCTACGTATGTTATGTAATTATTAATATTTATTTGAAATTTGTTCTCACTCTTTATGTTTCTTGTGTAATATATTTATAAAAATAAATAAATAAAAATAGATGGACCTACCAACACTTCCAGGACCTTTCACTTCCATCATCTTCGCGGTATTTCCAGGAACTACTTGGTCTGTAGATGTCGTTGCCAACTCAGTCACTTTTCAAGGATTGGCACTATCAACTTTTATGTTTTCTCCTACTCAAGAAGTTCTAACCGTTATTGATGGACCGATAGTGGTCACCTTTTTCCTACCTCCAACAAACCATGTTAATCCTATAGTGAACTTGTATCAACCCGACATGTAAGCATCATAAAATTAGTGTAAGAAATAAATAGTTTATAAGTATGTACATTATTGTAAATATTTTTGTTTAATATATGATGCAAATATAAAGTGCTATATGTAAACAAGTTTATAAAAAATTTCTTTTGCTTTATGTATAATAATATTAATGATATAATGTACATAATTATTATATACGTATAATATTGGAATTAATATTCACACGACTAGGCGGTTACACTATTCCTTATATCGTCCCCTTGACTAACCAAACACAAACTACAGATATAACTCAGCTACCTAGAAGATCAATAAGAATTACCAAACCTCCAGCCTACTTACAAGACTATCAATGGCAACCACCTATTACCAACACTGTGTTATATCCTATAGAAAAACAGCCATCTTATGACAAACTATCACCTTCCTATATGAACTTCATCTACCAAATCACCAAAACCTATGAACCTTATACATATCAACAAGCTGCGAAGTTCCCTGAATGGAAACAAGCCATGGTTGAGGAGATCAGGGCATTGGAAGAGAACAATACATGGACACTTGTCCCTTTACCAAAGAACAAGAGGCCAATTGCTTGCAAATGGGTTTATAAGCTTAAACATAAGGTTGATGGCACAATTGACAGACACAAAGCTCGGTTAGTAGCTAAAGGCTACACTTAACAAGCTGGTGTCGATTTCAAAGATACTTTTTCCCCGATGGCAAAGCTGACTACTGTGAGAACTCTCTTGGTTGTTGCTGCAATTAAGAATTGGCAACTCATTCAGCTTGACATAAATAATGCTTTCCTAAATGGAGACCTTGAAGAAGACATTTACATGACCATTCCACAAGGGTATACAACACCTAAATAGGGGATGGTTAGAAAATTACAAAGAAGTTTATATGGCCTCAAACAAGCCAGCAGATAGTGGTTCTCTAAGCTCACTTCTGCTTTGATTCAACAAGGGTTCAAGCAATCTACAAATGATTACTCCCTCTAGAGGAAAAGGTTCCAATCTACTCATTCTACTTGTGTATGTTTATGACATTATAATTGTCGGATCCAATTCTGCTCAAATTCAATCTGTACAAGGCTTCCTTCACACTATATTCAAACTTAAGGATCTAGGAAATATGAAGTATTTCTTGGGTCTAGAGATTGTCAGAAACCAACAAGGCATATCTCTTTGTCAAAGAAAATACACCCTGCAACTTCTAGAGGATACAGGAATCCTAGCTTCCAAACCAGTGAAGTTACCTATGGATCCTACTCTTAAATTGAATAATACAGATGGAACGCTCCTGCAAGATCCTTCTATGTACAAGAGACTTATAGGGAGAATGATCTACTTGACCATTTCAAGACCTGACATTAGCTTCACTATTAATAAACTCGTATGGAGCCTGTGATATACTTTTGAGAAATATTTTAGGTGTATCTTACAATTAAGTTTTATGGTATTGATTTAGCCCATTTATATCAATTGAGATGAATAAAACTACAAATTGAACTTATTTTATTATTCAAAATTATTATAAAAAAAGTATGACAATATTTAATCAAGACCTTTTTTTAATTTAGAAAAGTCATGTAATATTCAGTTAAGAAAATTAGAAATTTTAAAAAAGTACATGAAAATTTTGTGGTATTTTAATTAAGAAAATCAATATTTTTTTAACATTAAAATTTGGTGACATTTAATTAAGATATTTTTCACTTAAAAAAATTATGTTGCTATTAAAAAACAGAGAAATTTCAATGAATCATTTTGATGGATGTACTTTGTGAGACTTTTTATTATAATTTATATATAATTTACTCATTCAATAATTTTACCAAAATTATTAAGATTTTACATGAATTTTTTTTCTTCGTTTATTTCTCTCTTTTTTTCTCTCGCCTTTTTTACTTCTTCCTTATCTCGTCTCTCTCTCTCTCTTTCATATCTCATCTCTCTCTCTCTCTCTTCCTTATCTCATTTTTTTCGCTTTCTCTATTCCCATGTCTTATCTATCTCATTCTTATTTTCTTTTTGTTCTTCTCTCTCATTTATTTACTTTTTGTTCTTTTTAATTCTATTTTTTTCCTATCTTTTTTATCTATCAATATTTTTTTGTTACATTTTTATCTATCTTTATCAATATATTTTTAATTATTAAATATTATATATCACTATTTTTAAAATTATTAAAATTTAAATTTTTTTAATAAAGTTTAATATTGAAATTAATTTTTTTTAAATATATATTAAAAATATATTTAGACAATTCTACTTATTAATAAATATTATAAATTTATACATATTATTCAAATTTAATAATATGAATAAAAAAATATAAATACATATGTAAATAAATGTCATTTAGGGAGACATAAAAGTATAATCAATTATTTATTATACGATTAAAAAAATTTATCAATTTTATTTTTTTATTCAAATCTTTTTATTTGTTATTTTTTATTAATTATATTATTTTTTTAAAATTCATATTATCCTTTGAAATCTAATAACATTCTTTCAAATCTTATAAATTCTTAAGATACAAATTCATATTACAAAATTTTGATTAAAAAAGTCTTTTAAAAAATTTAAAAATTATTAAATTTTTACAAAAATATTTTAAAATCGAAAAAACTAATCTCAATTGAATTTACTCCTTAAACTTCTTTTTAAAAAAATATTAATATTAATGTACTCGATCTATAAATAGATTAAAAAAAATGCGATGATGATATCGTTTAATTAAAATTCCGAGTAAAAAAGAAAATTAAAATTCTTTTCCTATAAAGAAGACAAATCTATAGTAACTGAATTTGCAGACTAAATTAATCACAAATAGTTAAGTAATTGTAAATCTTAATTACCCCTTTATTAACCTCATTTTCTCTCTTCCAAATTTCAACCAAAAGAAGAAGAAAAAAAAAAAAAAAAAAGATAAAGTGACATTTCACACACACAAACGACAAGCACAAGGAAATTAAAGAATAACCGAACAAGATAAAAAAATGCATCCAAGTCAATGTCAGAAAAACATAGTATACAAGATTCACTCACTGGCAACATACACATTAAGAAATGAATAATGAAAACAGAAACAGCCTCATCTTATCTATCATATATCCACCAAATAAATCCAATAATAAAAAAGTTGTAATTTTTCTTTCTCCTTTATTCCCAGATTCCTTTTCTCTGCCCTCTCCCTCTCTCACTCACAGACAGACACCCTCCAACCACCGCCAACTCCTTCTTCAACTTCAAACACAAACCCTTACACACTCTCTCTCTCTCTCTCTCTCTCTTTCTCTAAATTTTCTCTCTTTCTTTAATTCTTCCTCTGGCCCACACCACGCCACCTATCTATCTTCAAAGTCAAGCAAGAATAACAGATTACAGACACAAAGGGCCAAACAAACACAAACACTTTCTCTGACACCCAAGCAGAGAAACCAAAACCCAAACCCCACTTCACGCGCCCCAAAAAAGTTTCAAACTTGCCCCACCCCACATCAAAACCGTTCCGATTCCTCATCTGGGTCGTCACCAATGTCCGCCAAGAGGCACCAGAACGCGATGCCGGTGCACCCGATCGAGGACCTTCCGTCGCCGTTCGGAGACCCGGCTCCGAATTTCGCCCCATCGGAGCTCCGGGAGACGGCGTACGAGATCCTCGTCGGGGCCTGCCGGAGTTCGGGGCCGAAGCCGCTCACTTTCATTTCGCAGTCGGAGAGGGGGGATCGGGACAGGGCGCCGGCGGCGGCGCCGTCGCTGCACCGGTCGCTGACTTCGACGGCGGCGAGCAAGGTGAAGAAGGCTCTTGGGCTGAAAACGACGTCGTCGAAGGGTAGCAAGCGCGCGGCGACGACGGGGGAGTTGGTGAGAGTGCAGATGAGGATTTCAGAGCAGAGTGATACCAGAATTAGAAGAGCATTTCTCAGAATAGCTGCAGGCCAGGTTTTAATTTTTTTATTTATTTTGGACTTTACTTACTTAATTACCAAATTTGGAGTTTAGTTTATAAATTTTTTATACAGTCCTTGGTCCCATTGAGGCTAGACTCTACTCACTTCTCTTAAGTAAGGTTTCAGTTTTGAATTTTATAGATAGAAAAAATGTGATTAGAGGGGAGAATTCATTTAAAGTGGTTAATCAGTTTCTCGTAAAGATCAGTCAATATTAACATCTATAAATATTTTGTACCAATAATATCATTATAAAAATTAGAGTTGAATGACTTGAGTGGTTATTGAAGAAGTTTCCATACATGGAGTTAGTTGTGACTGAATGACTTGTGACAGTCTCATTTTAAAATTTAAGGAGTTGTTAGAAGTTGGAAATTTGGAATTTTCTTTTACTAGCAGTGAGAAATGGGTGGAGTGTTTAATTTTAAGCTTTCAAATTTTAAGGTTGGGGTGTTTAATTTGGACTCGTCAGTTGATTTTTGCTTTGCTTGTCTTGCGGTTGAAGTTTTATGCAGTTTTATCTCGTTCTGGTTTTTCAAATGAGTGACGATTTGTTTGACTTGTTTTGACTGACGGAGTGTGTTGGAATTGAGTTGAATGTTCTGCTTGAGTTTTAACCCCGGATGACTAATTACTCTTTGCTTTTGATTTTGTGCTAAAATTGATGACAAAAGATTGACCACCGGTTGTTACTCATGATGGGTGGCAAAAACCAGTGATCAATCTTTTTTTACTTTTGTTTATAACTTGTTTGGTGACCATCAAGTGGGATATATTTCCTACTTCTAGAAAAGGGTTAATTTCACTTCATCCCTTTATATACAAACATGTGGATCAAAATGTAAAGTTTCAACATGTGCATTATGGTTCCTTACATGTGTTTAATCACAATCATAAGTTACTAGGTCTTTGTTCATGAAATAGCTTGGAAGACGCATGGAGTCAGTGGTTCTTCCACTAGAGTTGATACAACTGTTCAGGAGCTTAGATTTTCCAAGCCAACAAGAGTATGAGGCTTGGTTGAGGAGAAACTTGAAGGTTCTTGAAGCTGGACTCCTCTTGTATCCTCGCCTTCCGTTGGATAAGGCAGACACTTCTGCACAGAGCCTCCGGCGCATAATCCGTGGAGCACTTGACAAACCCATGGATGTTGGTAAAAACGGTGAATCAATGCAAACCCTCCGGAGTGTAGTTATATCTCTTGCTTGCAGATCATCTGATGGGTCTATTTCTGAGACGTGCCATTGGGCTGATGGTTTACCACTGAACCTTTGGATCTACCAAACTCTTTTAGAAGCTTGTTTTGATATTCATGCAGAAACTTCTGTGATAGAAGAGGTTGATGAGGTCTTAGAGCTCATTAAAAAGACCTGGGTTATGCTTGGAATTAACGAGACACTGCATAATATTTGTTTCTCGTGGGTCTTATTTCATCGGTATGTTGTCACTGGTCAAGTGGAGAATGATCTGCTTTTTGCATCCAGTAATCTATTGGAAGAAGTTGGGAAAGATACTGGGGGTTCGAAAGATCCTTTCTACACAAAAATTTTGAGAAACACATTGAGTTTGATACTAAGTTGGGCAGAGAAAAGGCTCCTTGCATACCATGATGCTTTCCATAATGGTAATATTGAATCAATGGAAAGTGTAGTTTCTCTTGCAGTATTATCAGCAAAGATATTAGAAGATATCTCTCATGTGAACAATCGGCAGAAGAAAGAAGCTGATGTTGACTACTCTAGAGTTGATAATTATATTAGATCATCTTTGCGTGCTGTTTTTGTTCAGGCAAGTTCTGTCATTTAAGCTCCCTAAATATGAATACTCTCTTTCAGATGGTAGACATGATAAATCATGACATATTTGTATGTTATACTTTTGATACCACTGACTGAAATAGGATAAATTATGACATATTTCTAAAAATACTTCTGCTCAAGTTTTCCTTATGTTTACAAAGTTGGTATTAGTTCTTTTTATGCATTGCAGGAGCTTACCACTTCTGTAATGTACAAGGATAAATTATAAGCTAAAACTCTTTGTTTTATGTCTCAGCATTCTCCAATTGGGTTTTCAATTTTATGTTACTTTATTTTACAAAGCTAATTGCCTAATGTGGTGCCATTAGTATGACCTAACTCTTTTTAATCTCCTTTAAGGCAGAAATTGGAGAAACTGGACCCCAGCAAGCATCCATCTAGAAAACAGAATAAAGCCTTTCCTATTCTGTCTGTCCTTGCACGAGATATTATTGAATTGGCTATTAATGAGAAAGCAATATTTAGTCCCAAACTGAAGAGATGGCATCCTCTTGCTGCTGGTGTTGCCGTTGCCACCCTTCATGTCTGTTATGGAAACGAGTTGAAGAAGTATGTTAAGGGTATTAACGAGTTGACACCCGATGCTATAGACGTGCTGATAGCCGCTGACAAATTGGAGAAAGATCTGGTGCAGATAGCAGTGGAAGATTCTGTTGACAGTGAAGATGGTGGAAAATCCATTATAAGGGAGATGCAACCTTATGAAGCTGAAGCTGTGATTGCTAGTTTGGTTAAGTCATGGGTAAATATCCGAGTAGATAGATTGGGGGAATGGGTTGACAGAAATGTTCGACAAGAGGTATGCCAATTTTTTATGCTCTTAAGCTAATCAAGTTAACATGGTATTTATTTTTCTTTTTATCGAGCAAAATGTTTCTCGTTCCATTTAATTTTTAAGATATTGTTGTTGGTAAGTTTAAAAGTTATAATATAATTTTTAACTTCTCCATTGCATCTCACAGGTATGGAATCCACGGGCAAATAAAGAGGGTTTTGCTCCTTCTGCTGTTGAAGTTCTACGAATCATAGATGACACTCTGGAGGCTTTCTTTCTGTTGCCTATACCCATGCATGCAGATTTGCTTCCTGAACTGATGGCCGGTCTTGACAAATCTCTCCAACAGTACATTTTGAAAGCCAAATCGGGCTGCGGTATATATTTACAGCATAACATTTGTTTAAGGGTCTGTTTGAATAAATTTTTCTAGAAGCACTTATAGGAGGAAAAAATAAGAAGAAAAAATTAAATGTTTCTTCAAAAGGTAAAATTAACTTATGCATAAGTTAATTTGAATAAACTCTTATTTTTCCAAAAAATTACAAACAAACTTAGCATAAGTTAATTTTAACTTGTGGAAAAGTTTATTTCATTTTTCATTCGTTTGTTTTCCTCTCAAGAGTTCTTTTGGAGAAGTTTATCTAAATGAACTCTTACCAAGGGGAGTTATTCAATCATTGTGTGACCTGGATTTCCCTAGGGGAGTATTTCAATCATTGTGTGACCAGGATTTCCCTTTCTTTCTTTCTTTCTTTCTTTTTTTTATCTGCAGGGAGCCGGAGTAGCTTCATCCCAACTTTGCCTGCATTGACCCGGTGTTCAACAAGATCAAAATTTAATGGTGTATTTAGGAAAAAAGAAAAGGCACAAGTAAATCAGAGGAGGAAAGCCCATGTTGGAACCACAAACGAAGACAGCTCATTTGATGTAACCCAGATGTGTGTTTGCATCAATACTATGCAGCGCATTCGTATGGAGTTAGGGGTTTTGGAGAAGAGGATAGTTGCCAATCTCAGCAGTTCTAAATCCTCTAATGGAGACATAGCAAATGGGGTGAGCTTGAAGTTCAAGCTTTCTGCATCTGCTGCTGTGGAAGGCATCCATCAACTCTGTGAGTGTGTCGCATACAAAATCGTTTTCCATGATCTATGTCATGTTCTTTGGGATGGCCTATATGTTGGAGAAGTTGCATCAGCCAGGATTGAGCCTTTTCTTCAGGAGCTTGAGAAATACTTGGAGATCGTATCTTCTACAGTGCATGATAAAGTTAGAACACGTGTGATTGTTGAAGTAATGCAGGCTTCTTTTGAAGGGTTCCTGTTGGTTTTGTTAGGTGGAGGTCCATCACGTGCTTTCTCTCTGCAAGATTCTGTTACCATAGAGGAAGATTTCAAGTTTCTGACTGGCTTGTTCTGGTCCAATGGAGATGGATTGCCTATTGAGTTGATAGAAAAGCATTCCACCACTGTCAGAGGTGTACTTCCCTTGTTTGGTGCTGATAGTGAGCACATAATTCAGCAATTTAGTCAACTTACTATGGAAATGTATGGTCCTACAGCTAAATCCCGGCTTCCATTGCCTCCAACAGCGGATCAATGGAGCCCAACAGAGCCAAATACACTTTTGCGAGTTTTGTGTAATAGGAATGATGAAGCAGCTGCTAAGTTCCTTAAGAAGAATTACAACTTGCCTACGAAGGTCTAACATTGACAAGTAACCACTCTGATATGCCACGCCTTCCCACCCAATATAAATTGTTTGTTCGTTCCTTTTTGTGTTGTGAAACCCTGGCCTTGTTTTGAGGACGTGATCGAGGCAAAGGTGGCACGGTATGCATTACACTCTTACTGATTAACTATAGGAAATATGGTGCTTTATCGTCAATAATGCTCAAAGTATGCAATGTACAGGTGTGATTCTTTGGTTTGCTAATTTGTTGGCTTATTTTCAGATCGTGTCAAAATGCGATTACTGATAGCACGGTAATACAGAGATGTATTTATATCGGTTATTTGTTTTATAATTTGAAAATGACTGGTCTATTTATTTGTGCGGCTATGTAATTTTCCCCCACAAAAACTACTTGGTTCTTCACCTTTATCTTGTAAATGAAATAAAATTCTTCGTGCTTTCCTTAATCTTGGAGGCTGAGCTGTATTGAATAAGCCATTAAAGACTAAACAATTTATTCAATTAACGTGAGGAATCCAATTACGTATGTAGGAAAGGTGACAACTAAATGAATGTGTTTTCAATTACCCAAAAATCCTGCTTTAAATTACCATTAATATTTCCTCACAAGTCGACAGAAAATTGACGAGGCGGCATGGCGCCATGCCAAGGCATAATGGACTAAGCCTAGATATACGATCAAACAAGGCATTTTAAAAGGGAAAGTACTTACTAGGACAGTAACGGTATCGTTTATCATGAGAAAAAACAGTATTATATTATTTTTTATTTTTAACCCTTATGATATATGCCGTGAACATGGTCAGAAAAATATTAAGAAATACTATCCGACGGGCATTTCATCCTAATAACGAGATCTTAAACATTCAGTCAAAATATCTTTAGCTTCAAAATTTTCGTTTGATCATTAAATACTCGAGTGTAGCTAATAATGCCGGCAAAATCTTTCATGGCAATTGCATTAGTTGTATACACGTATACATGAAACGCACACTAAGAAATAAACTCACCTAAAAGAAATGAAAACCTAACTAAAAGGGGTTCCTTTTTAGTCCTTTTCTTTTCGAGGTGGTTTTTGAGCTTGCTTTCTGCAAAACATGGAAAAAAAGTGACCAGTCATGGCTAGCTTAAGTAACCTGCGATCAAATATTAAGAAGAAATCAAAGGCACATAAAACAACAATCATATACGTACCGATTTTGATTTCTTAATCTTTCCACGAATCCTGTTCTTTTGTGTTTTCAACTTGTATATCCGAACCATCCAATGGTGAGTTGTGAACACCTGAATGCGTTAAAAGCCACGACTACCATCATCAGTAAGACCATAGATACTGCGCTTTTAAAGTATTGGTAAAGGGGTCGAAAATAGAAATTTTACTTTAGGGTAAGAACTAAGAACACACCCCCACCGTATTTATAAATGCAACCCCATTGTGATTTAAATAATATAAAAAAAATCTATTTATCAATTCCTAAACTTTTTTTTAATCCATCGGAATTAAGTGGTTGGCAAGGATGCTAATTTTAAATTCTCCTATTATTTTTTCACACCGAATGTCCAACTTACTAGATGGAAAGAAGTATTAAGTGCTTTTTATATTTCCATATTAAATGTATTTACTTTTTCATTTGAATTTCCAAGCATTAAGAGGATTAATAAGAACATATTACAAGATAATATAATATTACGCTTTTCCTTATTAACAAAAATTGTACGGAAAAAACTATTTACTAATCCAATAAATGGAAACTAAATAAACTTCAAGTATAGAAAGGCTAAAATTTTAAAGCCAGTAAAAGCTTATATTCCAAATCTAAAGTTTGAGTACTCTTTCTTTTCTCCCTGATTTGAGAGACCAAATCATTAATTTGAGTTATGGGATGCAAAGAGAGTATTGGCAAATCAAGTACAAACCAAAGTAGTGTACAAAAGAAGAAAATATGGATGGGTAAAGATCCGAAGGAAACTTATAAGCATGAGACAATGCAATCAAATTGATATGTTTAGAGAGAAAAATATCGACTACTAAAGGTAAACTAAAATGTACTATTCAAAATTTCAAATGGTAAATTTTAATAGTATATCAAGTCATCAATAATAAAGTATGCGATAAAGTGAGCATTGGCATATGATGGTAGACTAGTACAGAGCAACCCAGAATAAACATCTAAACACATACACATGCTAACAACCAACAAATGTTAGCCATTTTAAACGAGTTATATTTTTTCAAACAAAAAAAAAAGTTATTTAAGGAAACTGTACAGTACTGGTTATAGCAAATACCATGGTTAGTTCATCATGCATGCACCAAAATTAATTCGAGGATCATAATAGATGAAATACACAGCAAGAAAATTTCCGGACAATTATTTAACACTGGAAATAGTTTCAATAGAAACAATCTGACCTCCTCGAAATGTGTAAGTTTAAAATATTTCTTTCCGATCTCTGTCCGCCTCACTCTGTCAAAAGCTTTACCATCTGTCTCCACAAATCTGGAGCAAAAGCAGGATAAGGGAGTTAGGTAGCAGAACAGTTGAAAACAGAAATTTTCAAACTAATTTTACAGAAAAGCTGACCTGTAATATGAAAGTTTATACATGAGGCAGTTTAGCATGGTTGGTGTGGCCATGGAATCAATCCGATATTGACCATCCCTCTTTTGAAATTTGAAAGAAAAAAGGGGTATTAACACTCCTCAAAAGTTTAATATTATTGAAGGCTAGAGTATGATCTGTTTTCCACATTAAAATATCAAGAGCATGATAAAATATTTAACAACCCATGTTACTCATTTAACTTACTAAATAATCTGGTTCCTTTATGTGAGGGAATACACCCCCTCCAATGCGAACCATCCACAGGAACTTATTGATGTCATCACTGGGATAGCCGACGAGTCCTGTTAATAATTATAGAATCAAATCAGAACGAGGTGACTTGAGATAATCCCAATAAAGAGAAAGAAGCAGACCTCCAAAGACAACAAGAACATATTTGACATCCAATGAGTGGAAAATTTCCCAAGCTGCCTTCTCTGGAGATGACATGGCAGTGCCAACAGTAGCAATATGTGTGTTATTCCAGGTATTATTGTCAACAATGACAGTTCGGTTAGCCATAGCAGTTGTTTGGTACCCATAGTCCCACCAAGATGCCACCTACAAGGAATTTTATGAGCGTCAATACCTCAACATTCACAATGTGTTTTAACTTTTAACCAGCACTTATTTTCTCTTCAATTGGGGTAAAGAATGATCAAGTAGAAACATTTAGGGAGAAGACAATTAAGGAATTTAAGGCCGTAAAATATACAAGTTAGAAACATTTATGTACTCAAGTGGTTAGTTAAATCAATATTTTGTTAGTGTATTATAAAAAATTTGAAAATTATTAAATCAATATGCCTACTTCAGAGCTTTCTTCTAAGGAGTTTATTAATTATAATTTTCACAAAATCCATATAGACAGTATGAATCATTAAGAAACTTGTCACGAAATTTCCAATGATTGAGAAAAAATGGAAAAGGAACCAACACGTTCAGGGGACCAAATAACTTGCAAGGGATAGACTATGCCCCAAGTTAATTTATAAAATACTTAAATCACCTCAAGTCTCAATCGAATTTCACTTTCCATAACATCAAACTAGTGAATATCGTCAAGTTTCATTACCAGCAGCCTCAATGGCCAACTGTCTCTATCTAAGGAAACATCATCTGTCATATCGTCCATTTAAATTTATAATGCAGAAAATTGATTTATGTTTCAAACATAATGTAAATTTCAGGAATTAGCACAAAACACAGGAAATCATGCAAGCTAACCATCATCTATCATATTTTGTACATTTAAATTTTGTCATGCAAAAAATTGATTTCATTTCGAAACATGATGTAAATTACAGGAATTAGAACAAAACACAGAAAATCATGCAAGCTAACCATCACCATTTATTCCAAGTCTTTTTCAGAGAGAATATCGGTAATAATTAGCTTCAATTCTGAACTTGTAAGAGAAAAAGGAAAAGATAATTAATGTTGGCAGGGTTATCAACATGCGTAAAGACATGCACTTCAGCAGTAAAATTACCAAATCCCATAGAGCTTACTTTATCATCTATTTCTGTATTATGACTCAGCCAAGCATAAGCCTCTCTAAAATCATCAAAAACGTGAAGTCCATCATGTGAATGTGATGTTAGAACAATAGAAGGGGCTGAATAAGCTTCTGCTGCTGCCCATACACTGTGAACCTGCATGAGCAATCAAGATAGTCAGGAACTTAATTATAACAAACACAATAGCATGAAAGGGCATTATTGTTCATAAAGAAAATGAGGGAAAAAAAAAGAGTCTAACAGTAAACACCATTCTTCTAATTGAGATTTAACCAGCAGAACACGTCAACTTTTAAGTAGAAAGAGACTAGAGATACATTTAAAACAGAAAGTTATAAAATTATATTAACAAAAAATATTAGTTAAATAAAAAGGAAGAAATAAATGGTAAACTCCAAGTGGACAACACCAAAAAGCTTGTATCAAATGAATAATCTACCTTAAAAACCAAGGAAACTTCAAATGAATGATATCATGCTTAGGAAATTACCACATAGAAGGCACCTAGCAACACAAGCAAGATAATAGCAATGATGGATGTTTCCAGAGGTAAAACCAAAAGCCTTTTCTTAGTTTGTGACTTGCTAACAGGCTTTTCCACAGGTTCCTTTTCCTTCTTCCTGCTCTTCTTTGAGGTCCGTTCCTTTGATGTGTCCTCGCTTTTATCAGTCTTCACTGAATCATTTGGCACTACACTTTCAGAACTGGCTTCCCCTGCCTTGATTGTCAAGAGCACAATTTGAACAAAGCAAACTCATAAAATGACCAAAACAGCATGAAGTAATACCAAAACAAGTGATGATTAAAACAAATGCTTACATCAACATTAGAATGATCCGATAGGCTGGGCAACTGCAACTTTATAGATCTTGTGAAAACATCAAAAGCCTGAGAAAGAGCAATCCCAGACAAGATACATGCTGCTGGAGCAAGTACAAGCATCAAGCGAACCTGATATTCAGCAAGATTTTGTGCTCAATAATATAATAAAAATGCAATTGGAAGAAAAACCACCTCCATTATTATTCTTACCATGACTCCAGAAAAGTATACAGATGTAACAATATAAAGTACCACAAAAGAGCTTGCATCAGATAGCGGAGAAAAGCATGCCTACAATAGGTAAGCACCTCCATAATTTAGTTTATATAGAATACAACAAGATAAAACAAATAATTAAAAAAAAAAAAAAA